CCAAGTGCTCAGATGAATGCAGAATGATTTTAAAGAGCATGACATAAATTATTCATTTGTTCATTTAGAGATTTAAAGCTAGTGAGCCAGTAAATAATTGCATCAATTTATATGCACTCAAAAAAACAAAAAAACAAAGAGTAAATATAGCATCTACTATAATTTTATTTAAAATTAGCAAAAGAATAGTGTAAAACATAAAAGTGTAAAGCTTGCAAATAATAATAACAGCTGACTTTTTATCTGAGTAAATATAGCATCTACTCTAACTTAAGTGTGCATTATAAGGTTACACTTCTCACTTCACAATAAAGTTGATGACAGCTGATATCCTTTCATCCAAAACTTTCACTGCTCTGAGTGAAATAAGTGATGAGCTCTCCACTGCGAACATAAAGCAACGATTATAGTTTCGCACAAGGTCTTTTTGAACCAGTAATCCAGGGTGACACACTATCACCCTTCCATCTCAGTAGGAGTTTTATGAACCTTTAAACTGAGAGAAACTGCAGTGATATTTCTATAGGGTTAGGCATCTGCCCTCTATCTCACCTAAACAGAGCAACAAAATTAATGCCATGAGGTAGGGCTGCACGATTATGACAAAAATCATAATTGTTGATTATTCCCTTGAAATTGTAATTGCGATTATTAGTTACGATTATCACAATTTAAACAAGCTGAAAACACTCTAATTGAAAAAACTTTTATTGATTTTCTATAGTACTAAACCTCAAATGTCATATATACATTGGTTTGGTTTCTTCTTTAAATAATAAAAAAAAATATATATGCATGGTATTATAATGTTATATTAAAACTAAAATTAAAACAATGGAAAAACTCTTACGATAACCTGTAGAAAGAAAAAAAAACACATCCTAAGCACGCAGAATAACATAAGTGGACTTTAAACGATTAATTGATGCTTTGAACGATTACGCAATTGTGGCAATTCGTATTTCGTAGAAATTCGATTAATTGTGCAGCCCTACCATGAGGCTTGATGGACACAAGAAGACACAGATGCTGGAGTACAAATGCTTATCGCTCACTCCTTTTTGCTTTCTCTCCTTCATTCCCTCTTTACCTTTTCTGCCATCCGCTACCACAGCTGCCATTTCTGAGCACAAGCTCATTTATTACAGGTCACTGGTACACAAGGAAGAGTTTAAAAAGACAAAGTGGACAATGTTTCCCACCTGCACAACAGCACGCTAGTTCACAGTAAACTGCACAAAGACGACACTCTTCTCTTTTCTGTTAAACCAGTGTTTCTCAACTGAGTCGCGACCCAAAAAAGGCTAACAAGTCTGACAGCAGAGAAAAACAATGCTGCATACAAATAAGAAAACGCAACTGACCATATAATCATGCATAGTTGGGATAAAAAGGCTTGTCTTTGCTTGTTGGCACGAAGGCCATGCATCCAATAAAACTAATATACACTAAAAGTATAGAATATTTTTTCACAAGTTCATCTGTCACTTTGTAGAAGCTAGTCAAATAAAGTAAACACCAACACAGAAAGGTTGCATGACAACTTCAATAAAAAACAACTTCAAGAAAAAGAATATTTTCAGATTTTGGAAAAATACTCACATAGGACAATTTTCACCATCACTCATTTCAAGAACTTCTCTTAAAGTAAAAGCATAACCAACATTTAACATTGGAGTATATGGAGTTGCATTCTTACATTTGAAAACTCAAATTTATTTAATTGTGCTAAAACGTGAGCTGTCTTTAGATGCAGTTTTTTGTTTCGGTTTCAGATGTTGTGTGCCTGTATAAATGATCACATTAGCATGGGAAGTAATGGATCACAGCTGACGGAGAGGCACCGAGCCAAACAGTTCTGAGAGGATGGAGAAAGACTGAGAGACAGTGAGGAGACATTGAGGATGAAGGAGGGGGCCAATGTCTTAGAGGCAAAAAGACAGAAGCCATGCCACAACCACAGAAAGAGACCAGCAGACATTTGTTTTCAGAGAAGAATGTCAAATGGTGGAAAAAAAACAACAACAACAACAAAAACCCCTTAAGCTAGAGAAAAATAGAATTATTTGGGCTATTCTGAAGATCCTTTAAAAAAGGGCTATCCTATAGATTATAATTGATTTAGTGGTTTACTCCACACCAAAGAACTGACACGTTTATGATGTTTGCTTTCAGGCATTTGAGGCAGAAAAAAGCTTTCATAACTTTTCAAAAGAAAGTTTTAAACTATTTAATAATAATTAGAAATTTGAATACATGACAATTCATATTTTTAAACTATGTGTGTGATTCTCAAAAAATCATGTCCAGTAAAATAAAATAAAATAAAATACAATTAAATATATTTTTCTTATTTTATTTTCTTATTTTGATTTAGATTTTTGGGTGATTTTTTAAATGCATGTGTTTTAGGCAGGTTTCGTGGTTTCTTGAAATAACAAAAAATTAATATTTAATACAATCTAATATTTCATTTAGTTATTACGAAAAATTGTCAAAAACATTATTATTCATTTAGTGTCCATATTACTACAATAAATGTCCCTGTAATGAAAGGCATGGACCAAGTGTCATTTAAAGTTATGACTCCATGACAAATAAATTCCTAATAAGAGGATTAAGCTTGGCTAAAATTGCAAACATTTCCTGCCTGCTCATAACGATATATTCATGTCTAGACACCATATCAATGACAAGCTTAATTACTGGGAGACTCATTGGGGCTCTCAAATGGAGCTTAATCCAAGTTGATGCGGAGTAATAATTTGACTGCTTTCCCGAGTTCATATCCTTTAGAACTTAAATGTCACATCTCAGCCTGGGTCAGATGTTGTGTCATTTATCTGCAGAAATTGAGCTGAAGCAGAAATTAGATAAAGGAAGACATACAGGGGGAAAAATGAACAGCAAAAATATGAAACCTGATGACCCTGAAATAATTTGTGAAGAATTTCCTGCATGAGGGATTTTAAATTTATTCTCCACAAATAGACTCCAGTGATTGAAAATCATACTGGTACTATTGTGATCTTACAGTCCTCAAATTGACCTTCACCTTATCATTTGAGCAGTAAATACAAGATGCTCTCCAAACAGAGATGCATTCAATTGTTCAGTTGATATCTGAACAAAATTTGATCAAAAGTAAGTTTGACCGTTATACAAATAATCACAGATGATCAATTATTTATCATCGCAAATGATTAAAAACAACGTACTACCATATTTTACTGTAATACACTGATGAAAATGACAGTTAAGAATAATGGCAATAAAAACCAAAAACTAAAATAAATAAAATTCGAATTTAATGGATAATCTTAATCACCATGAAAACAATATTACAATTTCGTTTTGAGGTAAACAACAGCATGGACATGTTTTGATGTGATTTTCATGTGAATTCAGTCAGCCGATATATTCATTATAAGAACTGCAACATAAACTAACAGTACACAAGTCTGCCTCCCTGGATACATGCTTAACACCGTTTTGCGTCATAACACTCACTCGTATTTGTGTCATGATAACCTCCTTCCATATTTCTCTTTGTTCATACACTGCACAACAAAACTTAATTCATGCACCGCCAACGCTGAGTTCGCTTCTCACAGTGGGGATGCAGAAATATGCTGAGCAGCTATTTGAACACAGCGTAGGGGTCCGCAGCGCGATGCCAAGCGCGCAGGAAATGCGCGTTCCGCTGAGCGTGCTCCCGCGCTGCGTTCCACCAAGCGCCTTTACGCGCATCGACATATTAAAATAGACTCTCCCCTGACTGGAAGTCTATGACAACCCATGGAACCATATGCTAGAAAGTTGTGAAATGTATCACACTGACTGGAAAGGGTCTCAACATTCCCGATGGCGATTCCAGGGTTAACATCTCATTTTCTCAAGCGCCACCGACAGGTCAAAGTTGCACTTTTTTTGTTCTTCCTTATATATATATATAATACACCTACAGCACTTACCTGAACTTCATCAAATTTGGTTCAAATCACCGTCAGACTGTTCTCGTCAAAACTGAATATAATCAATCTTATTTACCAAATCGTTTACGGGACACATCAACAAATTTAGCATCAAGGTAGCCAAACATAAGAAATCTTTGCAAGGATTTGGCCTATTGAAACTAACCTTGTCATATATCACTGGCATCAGTACCTGATTAGTTTGTGGACAGTGCCAATTACTGGTTTTGCTTATAACTTTTCAATTGTTTGGCCTAAAGTCATGACGTCAGCCAAATTGGGCATCAGCCATTTTGAAATGTATTAAAACTACTTTTTCTAATTCCTTCTCAGAGTTCATTGGATGTTCACAAAATTAGGGTCAGATCATCTTCAAACCATGCTGGACTAAGATATCAAATGTTTTCTTTTACATTCCAAAGTTCTCTGACATGTCATCAAGTTTGACAACAAGCATGCCAGACTAAGGTTGTATCTCAGCTTTGGTGTATTGACACAAAACTTTCCTTGTGACATTATTGGCACAATGTCCTCCAGACAACACCTTATGAATTTGGTGACTGCCAACTATTGGTTAAAAGTTATAAGCATGTGTATTACAAGTAATCCCACATAACACTTTTAAATCATCACCATCATGTCCAATATTAAATTCAATCTGCTACAAAAATATATAGAACTAACATGAGCCAGTCTGTTTCAGAACATGATAATTATCGATGAAACCAGATTATCTGGTACAGCCATGTAGATATTAGACTACTGATTTGATAATATTGCAGAATAACCACTGGACGAAATAACAGATATGTTATATGTTGCATTGAGTCCTTAAGTATGTGTGATTCCAATGGATTCCACCTCTGGCCATCATAAAGACTCGAGGGATACACTGTGCCTTAAGTATACATTTCAGTCTTTCAATCTCCGGTCGTTTAAGTGCAGCAAAGTAGTCTATAACAACAGTGCACACCGGACAAGTGCGGAGCTTGCCAAGAACCTTTACGCACCGGTACAATCACTCACCTGACTGCCCGCTGATCCTCTGAACCACCATAATTATGACGATGAGGCAGAAGAGGAGAAGAAAGCGAGCCGGCCACATTTCTGCTTATTTTAAGAAGTTATATCTCCATACATTAGCATGATCAATAAAGAATCCGGGCATTGACAGTCCAGCGTCTGCGTCTCCAGCGCGCACACTCACGTCTTCGTTTCAGAGCACATTCTGTGACAAGAAACACAGCTGGACTGGTTTGCTTATGCTCTGTTTTCGTTTTTTGAAAAATAATTGTCTGATTATCCGGATTGAACGACTTGTTACCATTTCATTACCTCGACAGATTCGCAACTTCGGTTTGAGCGTCAAGACACGCCCCTCCTTGTGCTGAACACCGCCTACCTGAGTTATGAATGGTCAAAAGAGGCGCTATAACAAACGAGGCCACGCCCACCAGCGACTGCTTTACATATACACCTGCTTTCAGTGCTGTTAAGTCAGCGCCTTTTAAACTCTTTCATGCCCAAATATGATGATCCTCTTGCGAGGGACTCCCTTCATAATATATTTTCATCTGTAAAATAGTGTGATTTTGAAAAGACAATATGTTGTTTGCAAAATGAAATAGGACTAAGTCTTTTGATATAGACAATACATCGTTAATTTGAGCTAAAGCCAAAACAAATGATTGAAATAATTATCTTAATATTATTTCATTTTATTTGTATAGCACTGTAAATATTGTTCCAAAGCAGCTTTATATTGAAAGTTTTGTTTTATAATAATACTGACAGGCAATAGTGGTTAAGAGAAACGCACATACAAAGTATTCTGGGAAATACCTACATTGCAAAGAACACCTAGAAATGAATGAGGCATAAACGTGAATACATTTTTTTTTTCTTTTTTCACTTTATCACTAAAAACTAGGGCTGTCAATTTCAATAAAATTATTTTTTCTTGTAATTTAAAGTAATTTACAGATTACTTTCATGATTTATAGTCTTTAAAAAAAGCAGAATGAAACAGTAATGCCAAAATATATTATATAAATATTATTTTCTTCCTCTCTCTCTTTATTAATTTTTCCTTGCAGCTTCCTAAGGGTTCCTGGATCCCAGTTTGGAAACTTCTGCTTTACATAAATACAATGATAGGTTCAAAAGGAAACACACAACCATTTTCAGGTGGCCTATTATAACTAAATTAATTTGGGAAAATATGACAAAGTTGTTAAAATAAAACCTATAAATTATTAACTTATAAATTCACACATTTATTATTATATATGTTTTCTAGCCATAATATAATTCAAATAAAGTAAAATTTTCCTCTTACAGCCTTACCATGCTCTTTAGTTATCAATACCAAGTATGATTTTAAAATTATATTAAGGAGCATTTAAATGAGTTATGATCTCTCTGTATGAGATGGTTACAGTATATAAGGTGGCACTGTGACACTGATACCTCATAAATTCATGCATCTGAGTCAGATTGAACTCCATTAACCTGTTCAGTCCCTAACCACTAGAGGCCCTCACATTACAATCAAGAATGCATTCTTAATGGCGACTCAGCATGATCAAAACTAATTCCCTCTCTAAGCCATGATCTACAGCAGAGCAGGTGTTTGGAGTTAAAGTGGGGGGTTAACGTCTAACATACACTATATTTAGTATTATACATACACATTCATTTAAATTATGTTTTTCTGGTGCTACACTGAGTTCAGTTCAGTGTAGCATTACCAAGATTAAACAAATCCTATAAGAAAACCGGAACTGTGGGAACTGTTTTACGGTCAAGTGAAAGGGATTTTCACTAAGAAATGAAAATTATGAAAACTACTCACCATTCATGTGATTCCAAATTCAAACCATTATGACTTTATTTCTTCTGTGCAAAGACAACAATGGTAATTATGGAAGCCTATTTCTATGCCAGAATTTCACAATTCATACACAATTTTACAATGTTCTCACAATTCTGAGAAGAAAAGTCCAAATAGTGAGATACAAAACCACAACTGTGAGAAAAAAAGAGTCAAATTTACGTATTATTATTATTATTATTATTATTGTATTATTATTAGTATTATTATTCTGTGGCAGAAAACAAAAAAAAAATCTTCCAATTAATTTCTTTCTTCTTTTTTTTTCTGCAATCAACATATATATCACTAAAATTATTTTAGTAAAAATTCCCCTTCACACCAACTGAACACACTCCTGTGCACACCAAAAAACAATAACACAAAAAGTGTTATTTTAGTATAATAAGTGCTTTTAGTTTTGGATCTGTTTTTAGTTGTTTTAATACTACAATTGATTGCTTCTGTTGTCCTAATTTGTAAGTCGTTTTGGATAAAAGCGTCTGATAAATAACTAAATAAAAAATAAAATAAAAAAAGTGGCCTTCTACAGTTCCATGATGAACTGATGACGGCCACTGTGGGGTTTTGTGCTGATCAATATGTTCCAGTGTTGCTTTTAGGACAGAACAGGGGACATTCATACAAGGAAGAATGACCCTGAGCCAATAATTCCTTGGCACTTTCTGCTCTTAAGACTTGGAGGTGAAGGTCGAGAGAAGTCCACATTTACTGGCAAATTTATTGATCTATTTATTTATTTATTTAGTCTATTTATCGATCCTCACCTTCGACTTTAGTTTTCTTTTGCTTTTGGTATCATTTTGTATTCAAAATTCTTTCAAAGCAAAGTTTTATGAATTTAATTATTATCAAAGCAAAACAAGTTTTTGCTTTACTCTTGCAAGACAACAATATCAAGATATTCTGTATTTATAGTTTGGATCTGAAGGATATTTAAATAAGTAATTTATTGTTCATTCTCTGTTAGTGGGTTTGTTCTCCATATGCACTCATTCTTATTGCCAATCTCACTAGTTCCTCTTTCTCCGAGTATGATGTATTACTGAATCTTGCTGCAGGAGAATTTTCCTTCAGTTTCACTATCAAACTATTTTTTGTAGAATCCAGACCTACAGTATTCCATCTACTAGAACATTTCCATAATGACCTATACAATATTTTTCATAGAAGGTACAGTATCAATATGTTAAAAGTATTGTTTAAAAAAAAATCTTTGAAAGTCTTCTTCAAATTTCAATGATTTTGCTTACTCAGACTTGGCATGTCACATTTGGTTACAAAAACTGAACCAGTAGCATTTTGTATTATTATTATTAATTATTATAATTGTTGTTGTTGTTTTATAATGTTTTAAAAGATTTATACAGCGCTGCTTGAAAGTTTGTGAACCCTTTAGAATTTTCTATATTTCTGCATAAATATGACCCAAAACATAATTAGATTTTCACACAAATCCTGAAAGTAGACAAAGAGAATCCAATCAAACAAAGGAGACAAAAATATATACTTTGTCATTTATTTATTGAGAAAAATTATCCGATGTTAAATATTTGTGAGTGGCAAACATAAGTGAATCTTTGCTTTCAGTATCTGGCGTGACCCCCTTTTGCAGTAATAACTGCAAGTAACGTTGCTTGTAACTGCTGATCAGTCCTGCACAATGGCTTGTAGGAATTTTAGCCCATTCCTCAGTACAGAACCACTTCAACTCTGTGATGTTGGTGGGTTTCCTCCTGAACTGCTTGCTTTAGGTCCTTCCACAAAATTTCAATTGGATTAAGGTCCAGAATTTGACTAAGTCATTCCAAAACATTAACTTTGTTCTTCTTTAACCATTCTTTGGTAGAACAACTTGTGTATTTGGGGTCATTGTCTTGCTGCATGACCCACTTTCTCTTGAGATTCAGTTCTCAGATAGATGTCCTGACATTTTCCTTCAGAATTTGCTGGTATAATTCAGAATTCATTAGGCCGCCTTGTTTTTCGTTGTGAAAGCGAAACTACTTTGTTTGGTCTTCCAAAAGAGGACACGACTACAAATCAGTGGTTACGTTGTATTTACAACACTGTTCCAGAACAGTTTAACCCAAATATCCAGATCCAGTTTTATGGAGGACTGTTTACTGATCCTGGGAGAGTAGATAC